GCAATTTGGGAAAGAAATCAATTAAATCTGTATGTGGATGTGTGTAAATATTCAAATGTAATCCCCTTTGTAATCGTTAACATTTTCATAAGTAACTGTAATTTAATTACACATTTTTTCTTAGTAACTGTAACTGATTACAGTTACATTTATTTTGTAATTAAATTATGTAACGCCGTTACATGTAACTAGTTACTCCCCAACACTGACAATGTTATTGATCATGTTTGTTGTCTGTTTTCAGGGAAAAAAAATAAAATGAGACAAATTGATGTGAGTAAAATTGAATAAGACTTTATAGAATAGAATATACCTTACATCTATTTTCTCACGTTACTGTTATTTTAAGGAAATCTTTCAACAAAATATGATGATGATTAGGGCTGCACGATGTTCATATATGATCGTGGTTCAGTGCAGCTTGTCAGTGAACAACGGCTCTGTGTAGTAAATGCTGCTCAATCTGGAGGGACCGGCTGTATTGCGTCCTTCTCCAGCAGGACCGCGATTTCTGCACGCAAGACAGGAGCATCCTTGTCCAGCACCGAGGTGAAACGAATGCCCCTGAACTTGGGAGGGCGCCGGGCGAACTGAATCGCGTAGCCGAGTCTGATGGTTCTCCTGAGCCAGTGAGACGGCCTGGGGAGCGCTAACCAGGCCCCCAGCGACCGAACTAGCGGGACCAGGGAAACCACCGACGTACCTGCAGTGGGGCAGCGAGGTGGAACACAGGGACCCAACCCGGGAGGCCGTGCGTCCGAGGGTGGGGTCTGAGTGCGCGGCGCACCACTTACCTGGCTTCATAGCTGGGCGGAGGTGGTGGCCGCAGGAGGGCGCACTCGGCGACGAGCAGACAGAGGGGCTGCAGCCAGCGGTGGGGTGCAGACAGCAGCAGACCGCCGGGGCAGGATGTGTCGAAACGCCTCCGTCTGCTTCTGCGCGGCGGAGAACTGTTGGGCAAAGCCCTCCACCGCTTCGCCGAATAGGCCGGCCTCGTCGCCCTAAGTGCGAGGTCCGTTGCTGTGCGCAGTTCCTGCAGCACACCTGGTTCAGCACCACCCTCGTGCAACTGCTTCAACGCCTTGGCCTGGTGGACTTGCAGGAGGGCCATGGCGTGCAGGGCGGAAGCGGCCTGTTCAGCAGCACTGTAAGCTTTAGCCGTCAGAGCGGACAAGAACTTACAGGCCCTGGACGGAAGGCGTGGACTACACCTCCAGGCGGCGGCGCTTTGCGGGTAGAGCTGCATGGCAATAGCGCGCTCAAACGGAGGGATGTCCACATACCCTTGGGCCGCCCCCCCGTCGATGGTGGTAAGGATGGTGGAGGCACCAAGTCTGTTTCGGGCAGAAAAAGGTGCCTTCCAAGACTTAGTAACCTCCTTGGGTTACTCCTTGGGTTACAGGACGCCTGGCCTGTGCCCCCAGGAACCAATCATCCAGCCTCGAGCGTTCGGGAAGGCCCGCGGAGACGTACTCGACAGGGAAGCTCTTACCGTAACCCTCAGGTCTCCCTGACCATGAACCGAAGTAGCCCTCCGAAACCCGGAAGAGCTAGAGCGGGGCATGGCAAGGGGGATACCCCCCGGTTTAATGAGGAGGTATCTAGACTGCAACGTCGCGATGGTCATGTTCCCGCACTGAGAATATGACTCATCCATGAGCGCTGCTTCAGTGTGCTGTAAGCCCAGGCACGAGAGGCAGCGATCATGACCATCAGATGGAGGCAGGAAACAACCGCATCCAGAAACGCACGAGCGGGAAGCCATCTTTAAAAAGTCGCCCGCCGCTCGTGGAGCTCTTTTAGATATTTGCTCTTTTAGGAAAAAACGGAAACACTCTTTTAGAGAGAGCGCTGAAGCGCCCAGGGGAGGTCGCGGTGAGACCGCAGAATGGCAGCTGCAGCATGCCGAAGATGAGCAGCATTGAATGGCAACTCCCGCTGACGCGCCGTAACACCAACGCCAGCTGTTTCTTCCAAACACTCGCGGAGATTCGTCCTGAGAAGGCTCGGCTCCGAAGCGAAAAGCTGATGTGCGTTTGCACGCGCTCTCCTTTTATACCCGCGCTGCGGGGCGGGGTGCGCGTGGCGAAACACGCACGCCAACTGTCATTGGCTTGTTTAGTTTACACTCGAAGGTGATTGGGCTCTCGGGCGAGATCCCAATTCGTCAGTCACGACCGACGTAACGTAAAACGTGACTGACTGAAAGGGAACCGGCTTTACTGACAAGATGCGCATTAAATATATCGCATGCGATTTATCGTGCAGCCCTACTGCAGATGGAATAAATGATGATAATAATAATAATAATTTCATTCTCTGAAAATAATTTTTTGGCCTCTCAAGAACACTGGAAAAAGATGGTGTAGAAATAATTTCCACTCAAAATTTGCTGTTGAATTTCACAATTAATTAAAAGAAACAGCATGAAGTAACATTAAATAATTAAACATGCAATTCTGAAGTAGAAAGACTGAAATAGAATGTTTTTGTAAAAACTACTTAAATAGTTTTTGTTTTATTTATCATTTTTGTTTTTGATATTATCATTTTATTTATTTTATTCATATTTATGACTTTTTTTTTACATTATAAAACATTGCTTTTAAGATATATATCCTCCTGAGAACCAGAAAAAAAGCTTTGTGAATTTAGTATTTTTTCATGTCATTACATTGTTTAGAGCACAAGCAAAAAATTTAAAAATAACATTTTTGAAAAATTATATTTTATTCATATGTTATGCTATGTCTTCTGTAGAGGACACCAGGACTCAGTTTTTCTAAAAAAAATAAAATGACATTAATAGACATGAAAAGGCAAAAACAATGGGATTTGTTTTACAAATCACCAATACATTTTAAGGTTTCAGGATTTTTTTTATACCAAACTTTGTATAAGGATGATTCTCAAAAAAATTATTTGATATACCTTTTTACTTTATGCAATATGTGTGTAAAATTTCCATAAACTTGTTTTCCTGTTAAACACAATGCTATCTATACACTGTACCTAATTAGCATATTAATGTGCTGTTGGGACAGCATTTTGAAAAAAGAAGTGTAATAATGGGAGTAATAATTGGCCAGATTTTCATAATAATATCTAATATGCAATATTGATATTTCCTATTCATTTGTTGTATCTCCCAAAATGCATAATACACATGCTTTTAGTCCTGGTGTCCTCTACAGTGGGCATGTATGAAATCAATATCCTGTTTCATAACAGGAAGTCATATTTTGGTTTGAACCCCCATAACATTTTCCCGAGATGTTAATTTACGACACACAATTGGAAAATTAATTTGAATAATGAATCATTATATTAATAATTTAATTAATAATTTAATAATTACAAAATATGATCAAATTTCCATAAGGATGTACAATTTTATCACTAGATTAATGTCAGACATTTTTAAAGACCAGGTTTTTTTTTTTTTTTTACCTGAAAAAAAGACAATAATACCGATTAAGAAAAAAAAAATTTCAGTGTACAGTAGTGCAAGAGAAGAGATGATGCATTATTTCTGGTAAATAAAAAATTAGTCCTTCAATAGACCTTAAAATAATAAAAAAAATTGTCACAAGGGGAGAACAATGAATCTCAGAAAAAAGGCCTACTTAAGAAGCAAAACAACGTGAGACATCTTAATCTCCCCTCTTTCATTTTGGAAGCTAATGGGTCATTGTGGTCTCATTGAGGGCAGCTCATATGGCCCTGTCTTCAACCACAGATGCACTTAGAAAGGTCATAAGCAATGTTCATTAGGTGCTCTTATCTCCTCTAATTTTTATCCTGATTTTGTATCAAGTTTAGGTTGGTGGAGTTAATTTTCAATCGACTTACTTGACCTTGAAAATTTTTCACATCGGTTATAAGACTATCCAAAGTACCCATACAGTGAGGGTGGTACAGTAGACTCGTAGAATAGCAAACAAAGCTGCCATTAAAACTGACACTTTTATTATAGGCAAATATAAGCCTTAAACTTCAACCAAAATATCCAAAGATAAATAAAGCCTATGAAGATTAAATAACACCTATGAAGTAATGAATTTACATTTTAATGACATTTACTTTCTGGTTAATTACCAGTGACCACAGAACTGTAATCAATTAATAAACCCCCACATCGCCTCAAGACTCATGATTATACAAACGTTTTAAGAGCTACATGATTTACATTACTACATTTAGTAACATTAGAGCACAAGCGTTTGGAATCTTCTAGTCGAAATACAGCAGAGATAAATGTTTATGGAGCTGTCAGAGAACAAATGAAGTACACATATGCACAGTGACATTTTCAGAAACATTCATAAAGAGAGCTCAAAGCAAAGAGACACAATAGTGACATTGCCAAGATTGCTGAACCAATAACACGCCTGACTAAGATTCCTCACAAAAGTCACCTTGAGGAACTCATTTAAAATAAATGCATGTGGATTGACTGCCACATTGCTTCAGTAGCTCCAGTTATCAATGAATGCTTTTCAAATTGATGGTTATCTCACATAACAACAGCATCTTATAAGTGGGAAATATCATCTCAGCAAAACAAAAACAAAAAAGGTGGAAGAATGCAAAGTAGCCTATACAAACTTATAACAACACTATGTACACACAGACATATTATACAAATATATGTAGGTTATTTATTTATATATAACAAATGCATAATTTCCCAGAATGCATTAACAGTGGCGTTTCAATAGGCTTGTTCGAGATGCATCGGCGCGGCGCAGAACGATCGGTGTATGACATCAAAGTACCGCGAGAGCAATTCAAAAGTATAAAGAGTCGTCTGCTCTATTATGGCTCTCGCGGTACTTTGATGTCATACACCGATCGTTCTGCGCAGCGCCGATGCATCTCGAACAAGCCTATTGCTTCTTTAATACCCAGACAGCCACATGTCAGATAGCAGTGTGTTGGTAGGCTACTGTTTTGAAACTTGAAAAATGTATTTACCTGCGGTACGAGTCGTTCACAAGCTCCACGTGCAGGTGTTGAATTTAATAAAGCCTTTTAAATTGCTGCAAACTATAGGATGTTTTGTTTCAGTGGATTGTAGGTAGATATACAATTAATAATACATTATTTTGGCTCCCTGTGCACTTTAGTATTCCCTGTTTGAGGCAGGAGAAGCTGCTCGCTTGTACGTGAGTGAACTAAATGATTCACTTTGAATTGTGAACCGATCGTTTGTTACAGGGGTCATATGATGCGATTTCAATTTTTCCTTTCTCTTTGGAGTGTTACAAGCTCTTGGTGCATAAAGAAGACCTGTAAAGTTGCAAAGACTAAAGTCTCAAATCCAAAGAGATAATCTTTATAAAAGTCAGCCACACCTACCTAAAACGGCTCGTAACACGCCCCCACATACCTAAGTCACTATCTGGGAAGATTTGCATAACGCCGCCCAAATGTTCACGCAAAGAAAGAAGGCGTAACTTTTATTCTCGCTGTAGTATTGTTGCCGCTGCCGCCATGTCGTGAAGGCGCTGTGTGCTTCGTTGTGAAAGCGAAACTACTTTGTTTGGCCTTCCAAAAGAGGACGATATCGCTTCGTCATGCCTGGAGCTGATCCGTGCTGGTCGCTGGGGGAATACATCAACTTAGTGCTGTCGATCGCCGGATCGGCTTTCACCGTGGACGAAGCGGAGTCCAGCCCGGGGTCGTCACATGTGGTTGCCCCAGGCATCACAATATGGTAAGGGACGTAACATTTCCGTCACACGCTTGAGGAATTTGGCCAATCACAACGCACTGGATAGCTGGCCAATCAGAGCACACCTCGCTTTTTCAGACCGATGAGCTTTGTAAAAATCGACGCGTTTCAGAAAGGCGGGGCATAGAGGAGAAACAATAATGCACAGTATGTGGAAAATAATGTGTTTTTTTTAACCTTAAACCGCATAAACACATTTCATTACACCAAATACACAAAATAATGTTCTTTTTAGCAGCATCATATGACCCCTTTAAATCCTCTTAACGATTCATTGATGAGAATAGTTTCAAAAGTGCGATTCGAATGATTCGTGTGACTTGCTAGTTTTGATTCCAAACAGCTGACAGAAATAGGACAAGATTACTTAAATATTGTGAGGTAAAATATTTTTCAGACAATGATTTATCAATAAAATGTTCTGATTCAACATCGTGTGGGGTGTGGTCAGTTTAATTCAAGTTCCAACTCATGAGCTGAATTAAAGTCAACTCTTAATTCACATATTTATATTTACATTTATATACGTGTGTATGTATAATAATAGCTTGATCAACCATATAATTAATTAATCAATCACTGAACATGACATGGTGAGCTGACTGAAATGGAAAATTACAGCTATTAAACTCCTACTTGATGAATTGGCTACTTACGTATTCTATTGTGAGATACACCCTATAGAGTTACAAACAAATCCTTGTCATTTAATAATATTGATTTACCCTGATGTATTGTTTTTGACAAATGCTACAGACAGAGTTTAAAAAATAAAACCAGTAAGGAGAAAAATTGTGAATATGTGTATTGTTTTATATACATACAATGAGGTCAAAGAAAGAACTTCAGGGTCAGGAGCAGGTTTGTGCAAAATTCTGAATTAAAAATAATTGGCTCCCTTCCAATTCAAAAGTTGGAATTTAAATTTAATTGTTCACTCCACACAATAATTTGAATCGGAATGACAGGAAGAGGAATTCACTGAATTGCAATTTAAATGATGCATTCTGGAAAATGAAGTGTTCACATTATCAGTTCAATACAAATTTCCATATACTGTAGGTGGCATTTCAGTGTCAATTGTGAATGGTGCACAACCTGATTTACAAGATTAGATCATATTTAGTACAGTAATGGGAATTTATGAACATAGCACAGATATCCAAAACGTAACGCAATTTCATAATCATTTCTGTAAATTAGAAATATAATATAAATCATGAAAAATATTACTCAACCCCTTATAAAATCACCATGATTTGCTCTTCATATGAGCACTGACAGATGTATTTTTGGACCAGAATGGAGTAAAACAGGCTCGCCAGATCAAATCACTGGCCAGACAAACAAGCTGATTAATTAATCATTTTAATTGTACACATGTAAATGCATTACCAGGCATAAAGGTAGCTTCACAATCATTTAGATTTAAACCTGTTATCTGCATGCAAATTAAATGTGTAAGTGTGAAAGACAAAGATTACAAAAAAAAAACTGTGTGTGTGTGTGTGTGTGTGTGTGTGTGTGTGTGTGTACTAGTGTTGGCATGCCCTTTTTTATTTTATAGAAGACATTTGAGGCTATAGGAATAAAGTGCTGTGGGTCGCAGACAAGCCTTTTCCCCTCTCTGATCCACATTTATAATTTATTCAACCCTCATCAATGTTTCAAAAGATCTATTTTGTAGGTTCTTCTCTAACACTGTCTTCTGTATTCCTTCCTCTTCTACCAATTTAGGTGAGCGTCATTTTGTGAGGAAAAAAGGTTAGTATCAAACTCTGTGCTTCACTTTGATCATGTAGCCTACACAAGAAATGCATCATTTTAAAAGTGCACTTTGTAATTTTTCCAACATTAAAAAAGTTTTACACATAAAAAAATGTAATCCAAGGTACACTAACTTGAGATGAATAATCTAGTCATATCTGTAAGGGTAGGATAGTGTCCATAGCCTTCTGAACATTTTTTATACATATATTTTTTTTAACGTGGCCACTATAGCTTTTCCTCTCTCGAGTGACCTTGTGAGTACATCCTTCTTCATGGTTTTCTAAAGCATTAATTCTCCATTTAAAGTGGAGCACGATAGCACTTATAGGGTGTCAAGTGGTGTTTGGCATAAATAAGCTTATATTCAGACAGATGATTTAAAAATTGATACATTACTGCTGAACTAAATAAATGGGCAAATCTCTAATTGAGAAAGTATTAGGGGCAATAGTTGAAGAGCAATCATTAGTTGCCTGGGAGGGTGACTATTTTGTCTGGCTGTTAAAAAAAGTTTTTTTGTATAATTTTTTTTATATAATTCTTGCTGGATTTGGAGTATCACATTCAAATTAAATCCTCACAAAATGTACCAGGCTATAAAATTGTTCTCACAAAGCAGTGTACATTAACGTTTAAGATCTTAAAGAGATTGTTCATCATCATTAACTCGCCCTCATGTTGTTCCGAACCCTTGTAGGTTTTTTTCCTTCTGTCAAATACAAAAGATATTTGCAGATTGCTGACACCACTCTTTACCATACAATGCAAAATGAATGGTGACCAGGGGCTGAAAAGGCACTAAGGAACAGACTGAAATTCTGCTAATTATTAATAATTTTCTCCTCTGTTACAGACGTTGATATGCCAAATTTGAATATGTGCATATTCAAATTGCACAAATTAGATATGAGAGGAGGAGAGGAAGATATGATTATAGCGCAATACTTTTCCGATACTTTCATGGTGCTTTTTTGTTGTTTTTGGAGCTTGACAGCCTGTGGTCAACATTAACTTTCTTTATATCCATGAATATCCTGTCCTACATTTCCTTTTGTGATTTACAAAATAATAATAATAATAATAATAATAAAATCATAGGGATTTGGAATTAAAATGATGGGTAAATTGATTTATTTATTTATCCTTTATTTAGCTAGGAGAATCCCATTGAGACATCACAATCTCTTCTTCCAGGGAGACTTCAAAGACGGCAGCATACACAGTTACACAAAAAAAAAAAAAAAAAAGTACTCACACAAAACAATGAAAGTAAGATAAAAAAAAAAAAAACACTTACAAGACTCCTTTAAAACGGGATGGAAGAATGTTCATTTTTGGTGAACTATCCCTTTAATTACATTACTATTAATTACGTTTAATTACATTATTAATTAAGTTAGTATCATGTTTTAAAGTATGTCTCAATGGCATAATAAAAAAGAAAGGTGACAACAATTTTACACTATACTTTATGAAGGGCCCAAAAATCTAATTGAAAAAAAAAAAAAAAACTTAATTGAGGCCTGTGGGCCAAAAGTAAATTCTGCATTATATCCTGCATTATATAATTGTATATAATAATTCTGCAGCATATAACTATATTAATCAAATGTATTAAACAAAAAAGAAGAATTCAACAAAAAAATTACTTTTTTTTGTTTTAAACTATTTAAAAACAATTTTTTTTCACATTTCAGTGCAAAAATGTTAAAACAAAAATAATAAAAAATACAAATAAATTAATAAACAAAAAATGTCCTATTATTTTGGCGGGCCAAATCACAGTTCGCCACAGGCCAGCTTTGGCTGCAGGCCCTGGATTGAACATCTCTGACGTATAAACAACTGCATTTTTGTACCGTGCATTAAACCTCACATTAACCAACTAACTTAATCAGTTTTTCTTATGTTCTGTGTCTTTCTCCTCTAGGAGAGTTCTTGCCACCGAGGAAAAAAGGTTTGTGTCTTGATGAGCGCTTGATGAGATTGCATTCATTAGAGAACACATAAACCATCAGCATAACAGATAACAGTTTGCTTGAGTCTGTAATTAACACATTTACAGTTGCATTAGGAGGGCAAGCATTAGAGTATTTTGTGGAGAATGGGCACTATGCAGTCATTGATTGCGTTGTTACATTCAATGCCATTCATAATCATTTTCCTTTGTTTTCACACACCCTAATTGTGCTCCCCATGCTAATCAGTGTTCCATAAAGCTGCATGTATTTGTCCATTAACATCTTCATGAAATGATCATTAAGCCATCTCTAAATGGTAAAGCTCATGCAGAAAGCATCTAAACTCCATTATCAGTTTCAGCTAATGCAAATGTTTGTGAATAAAAGTATAGTCTCACATATGTATAATAAAAGTCTGTATTTGATTATACGGGTGACACATTTGCTGTCATTTGTCATATTAACACTTAAGGGAACTCTGCAAGCTTCATAAATTGGTGTGGCCTGGTTTTGCTTTAAAGGGACAGCCCATAATTGGTGACACAGGGACACCTAAGAGACCATGAAATTAGCTGTGCACTCCTAAGACATATAGGCAGTGTCACTGGAGGAATATGATAAACCGTAATTATTGTTCTAAGAGGATGCTATACGCCCTGCAGTCACACAGTAATTTCAGACGCTGTGAACTGCCCTTTTACAATTCGTGTTATTGCACAGTGTTCAAAGAACCTCCTAAAGATGCAATGATATGGGTAAAGACTGCTGTTTTCCTTCCTGTGTGGAAAGAGGAAATTAGGGTGGGACATATTTTTTAAATTACCACAGATTATGTACTTTTGTAGGCTAAAACCCGGAAACCAGATAGCATTTTAGCCCTTCCGGTTCCATCATCCTGAAGTCAGTGGGTTTTCTAAATGGATTTTTGTTCAAATGCCTGACATAAGGTCTGTGGATAACACAGGCTCAAGATATTTTAACGTTTTATTCTATGACATAAAACACTTCAGTAATACCCCCATGTGATTTTTAAAGCTTTTACTTGTCTTGAAAAAGAGCGGTCAGAAACCTATTGGTGGTGACATTGAAGTCATGCAACCATGGTAGAGTTTGTTTATAGCTTACATTTGACTTTTTACATTTGCCGATTGTATCAAAAATGATCAAAGTTGCATTAATTTGTGAAGATTATCAAAATGAACACAATGAACACAATGTGTAAGAATCATAAACTTTTGTTGGTCACAGAGCTTATTTTCTGCAATAATGGATGATTTAAACTGCAGTTACAGATGCATAAACAGGCCTAATGTTTTGTTTTTAACATAAAACGTTGAATACTGATATTTGAAATAATTTAAAACTATCTGCAGAAAGAAGGTACTCTTTGTGTGATAGGCTATAGATTAAGTTAAATTATATAAATATAAAAAGCATACAGAAGCATTTTTGCCGTCTACAATTTAGAATGCCTGGAATTTTAAGTTTTAATAGACTAATAAATCAACGTGCGTGCACTCTGTGTGTGATTTGATGATATAGCCTACTTGATAATGTCAGATTGCACATCATTACAACAACACTTACCATATTATCGCAGACGATGCTGTACCGCACACCCCAGACTCGACTTGAGTGGAAAATGAATTATCTGCGGTTGTGCGCACACTTGTTTGCAGATGAAAAAGGTGTTTTTAGGAGTCTAACTTGCAAACACCAGACCACTGATTCGTCAAACCTGCTTTCCTGCAGTCTGTGTTCTTCTGACTTCTGACTATTTTGTAGTAAGAAATGAATATGCTTTGGGGGAATGTATCGGAGTAAAAGTATACATTTTAATTAGGAAATGTAGTGGAATAAAAGTAAAAGTTGGCTGAAATATAACTCAAGTAAAGTACAGATACTCCCAAAAAATACTTAAGTACTGTAACGAAGTATTATTACTTCGTTACACTACACCACTGCTTCCGGGTTGGTCTACAAAAATACATAATTACTGCAGTACTCTAGATATATAAAGATGTGTTTACACTATACACTAAAAGTATTATTATGATTATTATTTGAGCATTTTGATGACCTCAGTTAGCTGTTACTATGAAATCAAAACTGTCACATACATGTTACAATATAGGTAAGAAAAGATTACCACAATTTGAGTTTCATGCCTACTTTAACAGACACTGAATAAAATCCACAAACATTTGTAATTTTGCCAAGTACTGTATATAATTACGAGGTCTCATCAAGTTGTGATTGATGTTCTCCTTTATCAATCAATCAATCAATCAATCAATCAATCAATCAATCAATCAATCAATCAATCAATCAATCAATCAATCAATCAATCAATCAATCAATCAATCAATCAATCAATCAATCAATCAATCAATCAATCAATCAATCAATCAATCAATCAATCAATCAATCAATCAATCAATCAATCAATCAATCATTTGCACATTATTTTTTAAAAAGACAATTAGTTTTAAAAAGACAATTAGTAGACAATAAGTCCTATTAGTTTGCATGTCTTCTAAGTATTCAACTATCTAATAGCATACTGAAGGGATGATGTCACAGTAAAATACTAATTTGCAATATATAAGTCTGATTATATGTTCCAGGGGTCCCCAAACTCGGTCCTGGAGGGCCGGTGTCCTGCTGAGTTTAGCTCCAACCCCAATTAAACACACCTGAACCAGCTAATCAAGCTCTTATAGGCATACTAGAAACTTACCAGCAGGTGTGTTGAGGCAAGTTGGAGCTAAACTCTGCAGGACACCGGCCCTCCAGGACCGAGTTTGGGCACCCCTGTGTTATGCATTACAGCTTCACTGATATTTCCGAAAACCTAATGATATAGTTGCAGAGATATGGGCCAAGGAGATGTTAGAAGAGGAAGGGGAGTATGAGGAGGAAGAGGAGGAGGAAGATGAAGATGAGGTGCTTGCTGATGAAGAGGAGGAGGAGGAGGAGGAAGAAGAAGAAGAGTATGAGGATGAAGGCGAAGAAGAAGAAGAGGAAGAAGAAAGTGATGAGGAGATCGAAGAGGGGGAAGAAGAGGAGGATGGAGAAGAAGAGGAGGAGGAATTAGCAAAGGAAGCGGTGGTGGAGGAAGAGGGAAAAGAAGAGGAGGAAGCTGATGCTGAGGAAGAAAAGGAAGATGAAGAGGAGGAAGCAGCAGCAGAAGCTGTGCAGAAGGAGGAAAAAGAAAAGAAGGAAGAGGAAGCTGATGCTGAGGAAGAAAAGGAAGATGAAGAGGAGGAAGCAGCAGCAGAAGCTGTGCAGGAGGAGGAGGAAAAGGAAAAGGAGGAAGAGGAAGCTGATGCTGAGGAAGAAAAGGAAGATGAAGAGGAGGAAGCAGAAGCTGTGCAGAAGGAGGAGGAAAAAGAAAAGGAAAAGGAGGAAGAGGAAGCTGATGCTGAGGAGGAAGAGGAACATGAAGAGGAGGAAGCAGAAGCTGTGCAGAAGGAGGAGGAAAAAGAAAAGGAGGAAGAGGAAGCTGATGCTGATGCTGAGGAGGAAGAGGAACATGAAGAGGAAGCTGCTGCTGCTGCTGCTCCTGCTCCTGCTGTCGAAAAGAAAGATACTTCGATCCCTGCTGAACCTGATGAGGAGAAAGAAGAAACTGCAGAACAAGTCACTCCTAAAGAAACTGATGAGGAGGAGGAGGACAAAACTGATGTAGATAAAGAACCACCTGAGGAAGAAGATGGAAAAGAAGATACTCCTGCTGATGGTAAAGATGATGACCAAAAAGATGACCAAAGTGAGGAGAAAGATGATGACGGTGAGGTCCAAGAGGCTGATATCGCCATTGCTCTTGGTATTATAGCTGATGCTGGTGCTACAGTCACTGATGTTGAAGTGCACGAAACTGGTGAGGAACCTATACTTCTTAAAGCTGATGGCGATTCAAAGCTATTAACAACCATAGAGGAGAGTGCTGCTAAAGCTGATGATGCAGTGGCTGATTTAGCTGACTCACAAGATGGCTTAAGCGCTACTGATATCCCATTTGATGACCATGATGATAAGATAGCAAAAGAGCTAGCCGACGATCATGGTGAGGTTACAGAAGACAGTCTTAAAGATGAAACTGGTGTTGGACTGAAAGACGCTGACTCTGAGAAAAATATAACAAGTGAAGGTGAGGGTGTTATTGAGGAACCTGAGCTAGCTGATGATGTTGCAGATAAGGAGGAGCAGGAGGAAGAGGGAAAAGAGGAGGGAGAGGAACAGATAAGGGGTGAGGATGATGATGATGATATTATAGTAACAGCAACTGTAGTTAGTTCCGAACAAGGTGGAGATGAGACAACAGTGGTGGCTGATGAAGATGATGGCTCTTCACCTGAGAAAGGTACCAAGATTATGGTTATTGACTCTAAAAGATCATTTATTTTGTTTTGTTTGTTTGTTTTTTAAATGTGTCCATGTCAAAATAATAAATAAACTAGCCAGTGACATAAAAAACAAATAAAATAAAAAAAAGAACCAAATAGTTTTCTCACATGCATTCTCCATTGATTTCATTGGAATACCATAAAAATATTGTTGCAGAGGTTCCTGAAATTACTGGAATTATCCTGCTGCAGCACTGTTACTGAATCTACATTGCGAAATAGACAGCATAACCAATGTATTCTGACTCCCGAACAACTCTTATGAACTGGTCCTTTTTAGTGAATCAAAAACATACCGTGCGACCAGTGTAGTCTGATTTCTGAGTCTGTTCTTTTTAGTGAATCATAAACAGAGCGCATCCAGTGTAGTCTGATTCTCAACTGAATCACTCTGAGATGGTTCTTTTTAGTGAATCAAAAACATACAACACAACCTATGTAATCCGATTTCCGATGGATTGACTCTGTGTCGGTTTTTTTTTAGTGATTCAGTAACATATAGCACTACTAGTGTAGTCTAATTCTTGAACTAACCACTCTGAGCCACATTCTTTTTAGTAAGTCAAAAACATACAACGCAGCTAATATAATCTGATTCCCGAACGAATTACTCTAATAAGTTGACTCTTTTTGGTGAATTTATTACGTTTTTTCATTAGTATTTTATAAAAATAATGAATGAACTATTTTAACACATTTAGTTTTTTATATTGTATTGTTTAATAGCCTACATATATAAGGTCAGTTATTGGATTGCATCTATTTATTCCTTAATAGTAATAAAAAACAGGAACCGTTAAGAAACCATAACAAGAATTGGAAGTTGGAACTCTTTATAAATCCTCAAGAATTCTTTACAATTCCTATTTGTAATGTTATATCAGTCTGTAATTTATCAGTCTGAAAACTTTATAAAAACTTGAATGTACCGCCTATAGGTTTTCTCCATTTTAAACGAATACTTTAATCATTTAGACATCACTTGCTATCACACAAAAAATTGTTTAGTATAAGTTTGCTGCTATACATATCCAAATATGCTATAGGAAAAGACCCCATTTGAGTTTGTGATTGAAGTCTAATTCATGCTGGGTGGATCAAAGAACAGCAGCTGGTGCATTGCTGTTCAGCTGCCAGTGAAACGGTTAGAATCCATGAGAGACTGCTTTCATGTCAGCTGTCACCAAACACTTGTCTCGAAAGGGGTCATTCAAGGGCATCAAAGTTCTGGATGATCAAGGAAAACACTGGAACGAGATTAAGCCAAATGAAGATGCACTTGCAAACTAGAGAAAACCAAAATAGGTTATTGTGGCTAGAATGAGTAAAAAGTTAGGAATAGTAGTTATAGTCATTGTCTGAGCAGCAGCAGCAGCACATAAAGCTATTGGTATGTTTTATGTATACTGCTGATACCTTTTGCTTTTTACTTATGGTAGTTAAGAATAGAGCAGCTTGACTAACTTAATTTAGTTGATTTGCTAATTCACTTTGCACAAAGCTAAACCACCTGTTCCAGCTCCTAACTCGCCGCTGATGTTGCTAATGAAATCGGAAGGATCAGTCTCAATAGAATAATTGAAAAAATAGTTCTGTTTGCAAATTAAATCTGATTGTATCTCTTTGTCAAACGCTAATGCAATCTAGCCAGCAACAAAGGGAAATTTTAGCTCCTGCCAAAATCACTTGGAAGAGTTCAAGAATAATAGGTCAAGGGAAAATACATTTTTACTGGTTACTAAAGGTTGGAAAGACTTCGAAACAAAATCACGAATACTTCTTGTGATCTATCCGGCGAGCCTTATAAATATGTTTGCTTTTCTTTCAAAGACATAACAACCCTGAAAGAAGAGGAGAAAGATGAAAAGGATGAAAGCGCAGAGGAAGTGGAAATTGCTGAAAAAGCACCAGAACCAGAACCGGTCCCTAAAGGTAACAAACATAGCAACAGTTTGCTTGCATGAAGCATATAAAATGAACCAGAATTAAAATGAGAATATTATGCCAACACTAATGAGCTCCAACGTTATTGACTGTGGAGGAGTGGTGTTCTACAACAAGCAGAAGCCTGATGGTGGTGGATGACGGGAGAAGAGGGCATGTGTGTGTGGCTGTGGATGTGAGGGTTGAGCAGACCCTTAGGCCTCAAACTTTGATCTCCAAAGACTTCCTTATGGCTCATTTTTTCCATCTACTTCACAGCATTAGGATGATGCTGGTGTGTGTCAAGTTGCTTGATGTTCTGCACTGGCCTCTGCTGCACTCTCAGAAAAAAAGGTACAAAAGCTATCACCTGGGCCATACCTTTTCAAAAGGTGCAATTTTGTACTATTTAGGTACTAATATGTACACTTCAGGAGTTATACGTACCTTTAAGGAACCAATATGCACCCTTTAGGTACAAAGGTGTACCTTTTGAAAAAGTACCGCCGCAGTGACAGATTTTGTACCTTTTTTTCTGTGAGTGTGTAAAAAGACGAATAACGTATTTCCTTAGGCTCAGTTATAGATCGAAGAGGTCTGACCTCATTAATTATATTTTTGACCCCCTATGAAACTGTTATGTTAAAGTGACCATTTATTGAACTTTATTTATTGAACTGAATATTTAAGAATTGTCTTATATATAATAGTTTATTTATTTTATTTAATAATTATTATTCATTATTTATTAAAAATACATATTTTCAATTATCTATTTAAAATAATTAGTGTGATAATTATTTTAATTAGTATATAGGCCAATATACAGATGTTTTAAAAAATGCACTTTCTTTCTTTCTTTATTTATTTATTTTTGATTTTCCTCAACAGTTTTTGAACATTTCTTGAAATTAATATTTAATATTTTGAATTTAAGAAATATTTTTCATTATTTACCTAAAATACATATTTTAAATATTTAATTAAATAATGGAAAAAAGGTGTAACCTCAGCCATGTTAAAATAAACATTATAAAAGCACAAAAAGCACAAGGATCTCTATAATATGATTTCCTCCAGTGAGATGTATTCCTCCCTTTCCAATTATTCTTGTTATTTGATTTATCGATATGGTGTTGAACTAGAATTTTTCTGAATTCTCCCTGAGGGCAAAAGATCCTACTGGGTATCAGATTAAAATTTGGAGAGGAGATTGGGGATAAAGCCATGTGTGTATTGCAAGATGGAAATCTAATCCCGCTCTGAGACAGTGTATGGCACAGCAGTATCACAGACTCAAAGCTCAGATGAGTTCAGAGGACTGACTGCTGCTGCTGCTTCTGTCTGGGAACAGCAGAATGAAGTGTACTTGTGCCTGCAGAGACAACAGTGGAACACGGTGAGACTGTGGTTACACACAGTGCCAAGAACTGATACTTATACAGAGAGATTCAAATACATTTCATAAAGGAGAAAAGCTCATTATGCTGTCAATTCAAGAGCACCCTAGCAACCATGGCAAGTGGTTGCTAATGTTCTCTGACTTGTTAGGGAGTCACAAGGTGGTAACTAAGGTGTTCTGAGATGCTGCAAGGGTTACACGCTGCAAACAAAATGCAATTCTGCTATAAAGCAGCTCTAAAAAGAGGACAATAGCAAACAGACATTTTTTCGGTTAAAGTCAGTTCATTGTTGATTCAGTGATGTCATCATCCAGCTCAGTTTTCTTCTAATCGTGTCTGTGCAAACAAGTCGATAATATCACCAGATATTAAGTGTCCCCAACTAAGTAAGCCAAAAGGCAACAGTGGCAAGGAACCCAAGCTCCATCGGTGAAAGAAATGGAGAAAAAAACCTTGGGCGAAACCAGGCTTAGTCGGGGGCCAGTTCTCCTCTGGCCAGATGAACCCAACATGGTGTGGTTTAGTTCGAGGCTGTAACACAAGTCAGAATGTGGACTGGCATCACTCAGAACATCCATCCAGTTCCTTCCGCTTGAAGATTGGATCACATGGTGAAGGAGTCGAAGCTGGCCACAGAGTCTGTGTAGAGGACTCATCTGGTTCTCACGGTCTTTGCTGAGGATTTGTGCCCAAAAATGGTAGATTGGTCTAATTTGAATCCAAAAAGTAAGGCTGATTAGCCCTTACTAATTGAGAACCTTAGCAACCTTAGCAGCCATTCGGAAGACCGGGCAACTATGTAGCAATCAAGAAGATAACAAATTGCTCAAGTAAGCCTAAACAACCTATAATAAGATTTTTTTTTTTTTAGCTGATTTAAACTTTTAGGCAAGACTTTGTCAGGACAACATTCTAACTTTACTTTTCTAGTTAAGTTTGTTCAGAGTTTGTTTTTCACCTTCAGTGATTTTGCAGCAACATATTGATTTGCATTCAATCTCCTGCTGTTTGTGCAATGAACAGATTAAAAATGTATGTTAAGTTTGTGGGTATTTATGCACACTGAATTTAATATGGCTCATGCAGATCTCAAGTTGACCGTTGCCTTAATGAAGTGAAAGGAAAATGTAAAGTATACATTTAATTTAATTTAATTTAAACAAAAAAGTGTATAATTCAGTATTATTCAGTAAATAAATTTGATCTGATCATAATATGATGCACTGTTGCTTTGGCCCTGTCAAAAAGAAACATTTGGGAGTATTTTCCACCTTTTATTTTAGTTTAGTTTAGTTTATTATTTTTTATTTTAGTTTAGAGGTTTTTATTATTTATTTTTATTTTATTTTATTGACAAAAAAGTGTATAATTCAGTATTCATTACATAATAAAGTGTATAATTCAGTATTATTCAGTAAATAAATGGCAGCAATACAGTCTGATTATAATATGTTCAGTGTATGCTTTGGCTCTATCAAATATCTTGTTATTTTTTTTATTAACAAAAGAGTGTATAATCCAGTATTATTCAGTAAATGTGTGTGCTTGCTCTGGCCCCATCATCAAGAAATATTTGGGAGTCTTTTTCCACCTGTTTCATGTCCAAAAATATCCCAGGATTGTGTCCTGCTGATCTGTTTCATTGACAAGGTTACCTCAAATAGATTTGACTCGTTTTTGACTTTACTACTTTGTACTTCAGTTCTTTAAAATGTTGTGCTCTGCAGAAAATTACAGCAATAACATCACCCCTTTCCATTTACTGCAGAGAGCAGGCCAGAAAAATGAGAATCTCGGCCCTGCCTGCAGGCAAGCAGTAGATACTCTGTCATTCCTCTATCAAGAACATCATTAGATATGTTTCACACAACAGAATAAATCCCTGCTGAGAGAAAGAAGCCTGCTGCTAGGGGAGAGAGCAAAAAATGTGGGACTTGAAGAGATCCATTTTGACCCATGGGGTTGAACAGTCTGCACAGAAAGCACTAATAAAGTACAAAAAGATCTGAACATCAAAGTTGGCATTGTGTTGATGTGTCTCTGTGTGTGTAAGCAAGTACATGTCTGTGTCTTTTGTCTTTCTATTTTCTCTCTGGGCTGTAAGACTCACCTTTTGTTTTGTTTGCTTTATTTCTTAAAACAGCGGCAGTCGAGGAACTGAAAAAAGAAGAAGCAGAGGAACCTGTGGCAGAGGCTGAAAAAGAAGGTCAGTACATAATTACAGTGCTGCTGTTGTCTCCAAATAGAGAAACTTTTTTATTTTATTGTATTTTATTTACAAAAGAAGGTCAGTGCACATTTACAGTGTAAGTGCTGCTATTGTCTCTAAATAAGCATCTTATTTTATATTACATTTTTTATTCTATTTAATTTTTATACAAATGCAAATGAAAATGTACACAAATCCAATATATGAAGTTTCAATGGCAAATCAAAGTCATAGTCATAATATCCTATCTTACACCTTTCAATGTCCCTGCTGATCTTAATCAGAAAAGAGTAAATGCATTTTATTAGCTAATAAACTTTAGCACCAAAGGTCAGTGAGAAAACAAAGGAAGAAAGAATGCATGCTGTTTTAATAACACAGATCATGTACTCAGCTGCAGGGTTGACTGATATCAAAAATTGCATTAGCATTTTAGGTTAAAGACATTTTGAATGACACCACCCTGTAATTCCCCGCAAGCATGTAAGCAACACAATCAAAACCGGATTTTTGAATTACAATAATTATTATTCTAAGAGACTTCTTGGAATTCTTGCAGCCGCTAAAAACATTTCCCTGCTTCTCAGCCAGTATCTTCAGATTTGTTATTATTGTTAATCTCCATTTGTTGACGAGGTTGTCAACCTGTTTTTATTTTTAGCTGGCATCCTTCTTGTTACAATAATCCAATCTCTTTATTGATGGGGTGGTATTTAATAAAAAATTAATCATTAATTCTGGCAAATTTATGCAATCCAAACTTATAATGAAGGTGTCATATTTGTATCCTGTGATTTACTACCACCACTTTAAAAATTAATTTTAGTAATAACATTTTGATTTATGGATGTAAAATCTGGCATTGGCCTCTGATGCCATAAGCATATTATGGGTTTTAAAGATAATGACACCAATATATTAATCTGTAGAAGACATTTATCCCCGTGTTTTGCTGCCAATGCGATCTTTATCATCCTGTGTTGATTTAAACAAGGCTAATCTAATGCATCTCTCATTAGTCTGTGTCTTTTTTTGAACAGTTTCACATTTTTTCATGTAGGCTACATCATAATAATTTTCATATTTAGTAGACTTTTTGTGATTGATTTGATTTTGGCATTGAAAAGTAAGTCTGAGTGTGCCTCCAAAAAAACAACAATCACATAACGTCAGAGCCGATGTTTCATATATGAACAAAAGATGACTAAATGAAATGAATCACTGTAGTCTATGGGTGCTTTCACACTTGGTTCGATTGCCTGGTCCGAACCCGACTTCCATTGCTACGAGTAGGCTACGGTTTGCGGGTGCGCACCTGAGTTCAGAAAACAGCATTCACATTACCCAAACGAACCGAACTCTGACGTCAAACGAACCCGGGTGCACACCAAAAGTGCTAGTGTGAAAGTCCCCACAAATGACACTCACTATTTTGCATTTGTTTGTATCCAGACAAACAAAAAGAGGCCTCTACCTGTCCTTGTATGCATTCAGTAATACATAAAGAGCCTCAAAAAGCCCAAGACACTAAACCAAAGGAAGAAAAAGGTATTTGGTATTGACTCGCAAGGTCAATATCAAGCATGTTGTTTTAAAATATAATAAAAAAAAGCCTGGGCATATTTTCAATTTTCGACACATAACAGAGCCATTCTATAGCAAATTACACTGGCCATGTCTCATGGATAAACCATAGATCTAGTCAGAGACATGCCGGTATCTTTGTGGATTCTGTTCTAACAAATATTGTGAGCTTTTCATGCAAAAATAACTGATATTCTGTATTTTGAACATGCAATAAATCGCATGCTAAAAATATAAGCATTGATTGGTGAATGATGTGTAACTAAAAACGTATTTGCACCAGTGTTATAGAAGTGACTGAAGAGGTGGACGTAGCCTACTATAAATTTATGAAGACACGCACATGTACGCATGGATTGTAAGCTATGCATACAGTATGTGCATGAAATATTGACCATATGGGTAATTTCTGTATCAGCAGATACAGAAAATCATATTTGGATTATTTTACTTTATAGATATATTTGCTCTTACTGACCCTTACTCCTTACTGTAAACTCATACCATCCTGCTTTTTACTAAATACGATTCATTTTACAATTTAATTTGGTTGTGCTTACAGAACATCATATAAAAAGCAAGCTGTGCTTCAAGATTAAATTTTGTTCCTCTTCCTAACCATGTCTGAAATTGCTAGACAAAGCTTTTTCCACTAATGAGCTCAGCAAAGCCATGTTTGGTGGTTTGTATTGTTGTTTAGAGCTTTCTAATGCAGTAAGCAGAAATCCACTCATAGTCGCCATCTAGTGTAATAGTAAATTAAATTGCTACATTAATTGTCACTCATTGTCCTTTTTCTCCTTTTTTTCTTCCAGCTGAACCTGATAAAGTAAAGAAAACAGGTGTGTTTATTCAATAATATTATTGAACAGATATTTATTGCAGCTAATATATGTATATATATAATTAAAATAGTTGAAGTAAAATAGCTTTTTTTTCCAGTAACAAACTACATATTTACACATTATTTAATGTTAGACATGAGACCACAGATTTTTATACAACAGTTCTATGAACATAAGATTTTTTGACAAACACAATAGTGCCCCCTGGTGCATAATAATTAATCTAGATTTAGTTTTTTTGTTTTGTTTTTTAAATCGAAACCCCAACCTTTAGATATACTTAAGACTTTGATAGTATTTCCACTCTAATATGCTAATTTGTATAATCAACTTGCAACATCAATCATGACTACTGATAGATCTGGCAAAGAGTTTTTTTTACATTAACAGTGTATGGTATCAGTGATTTAGTCATCATGAAGTGACCTGTTACTGCAGACAGTTTTCAACTCTCTCTAAGCAAAGCAGTTTGGCCTGATTCATGTCTGACTGTTTTTCATTTCACAGCTAAAAGAGTCACCCTTGAGCACATGAGTATGTGATGTATTGTGTTGTTTGATTAAAGTTGGTTTAGCTCAAGGCAACTGTCGATTCCTACAGCAAACTGCTTGCTTTAGCAGTACAGCTCAACAAGCCTGTGCAAAACTAGTAAAGTAGTAGACTAATCTATTGATAAATCATATTGATGTGCTTTAAAAGATTGTTCTGTTATTTTAACAAAATGGCTAAAAGAGTCTAATTAATAATGCAATAAAATATTAAAAATCAGATCACCGTGAGCCAACAGCATTATGGGACATTTCATGCCAATTTTCACTTTAGGAAATTAATTTATTCCTAAATTCAATTTCAATTTGTTTATTTCCACATTTAATAAAATGCAAAATATATATTTCCAATTAACTGTCCTTTATGGTGCATTTGACACAATGTTCTCATTATGCCAGCAAACACTGTAAAGTTTGAAAATTAATTTTCAGCTGAGCAAATTTCTGCCAACAAATTTGGAGATAATCATACGTGTTTTTATCTGGAAGCTAATTTTACATTGTTTATTGTGTTTTCCCTCTCCAGAAGCTGAGACTAAGAGAAGGGAACCCCTGCTTAAACAGAGAAAAGGTGCAATAGCCCTCTTTACATCAGTTATTGTTTTTTGTTGAATATTGTACTGAAATTCACCTCATCACTAATATTTGCTCATCAGAAAAAGAGTCTCCAGTAAGAACAAGACTAGAGAAAGCAAAGAAAGGTACAAAAGAACAAGCACAATGTGTGCCTGCTTTTTTATCATCAACCCCTGAATGACATTTTTCAAATGACTTATAATCGTAGTGATGAATATTGACTCAAATTTGCTCTCTGCTTCACAGCTCCAAAAGCAAAGACAGTGGATGTCAACATACCCAAAAAGAGAAGTAAATCCACATGATCTGATCATACTTTACTTCTTTAAAGGGATAGAGGTCATCCATAAATTAAAGTTCTGTCATCATGTATTCACCCATTTGAATGGCAAATGACATGAATGGCAAACAGGTACTTTCAAACTCAACCCATATGGTCAAAAAAAAACACCATAAAACTGGTCCATGTAAGTTGTGAGCAATATTACAGATCTTCTGAAAATTTAAACACGCACATATTCAAATCACACAAATTCGAACTACCATAGAGAGGAAGATTTCAAGTGTCAAACAACTTATGACGATATGATTTCAGGATACTTGGCACAAATCAAATGCTGTCACTCTGCTTTTATGTCATTTCTGGATCTTGACAGGCCCTGGTCACAATTTATTTTCATTATATGAAAAAGAGCAGCATGAACATCCTGCTTAACATCTTCCTTTGTGTTCTTCAGAAGAAAGAAATCATACAGGTTTTGATCAATGAGTAAATGATGACAGATTTTTCATTTTTGGCTGAACTGTTCTTCTAAGTTGATGTCAAATTTTAAAATTCCATTTGAACTATATGACAGCAGTGCTTTCCCTTTTCCTAATAACAGGATCTCGAGCCTCAGAGGTTGTGGAAGTGTCAGCTGCTCCAGCTCCGATACAGGATCGTGAGTGCAACTCAAAGCCTTGTGTCTTTTTAATATTACATTGCATTACATTCACGTTATGCAAAAAGACAGCAGCAATAACACGCAATCTACAGTCAGTCTGTTGTAACTCTGAATCTTTCTTTTCACAACCTGGTGAAACAGTTCCTATGTGCCGACCAACACCTGTGTACTGCCCAGCGCCTCCTGGCTGGTATGGTGAGTAATGCAGCCACCCACAATTACAGTAACTCAATGTACTTTACATAAAACACCTTCAAACATAATTTAAACATTCTTAAAATATTCTTGAATGCCCTGAAATGTATTTTATCTTTTATCTTACAGTGCATCATATAGTTACAAGTAGCCCATTACCACCATCGGCTATTCCAGGTATTCAAAACTATTTTAATTCAAATCCATTCATAAATATCACTGACATATGTTATTGATAACTAATTTATGTGTCTGTCAACAAAAAAAAATCTGTCCATTTCAGTGAAAGTACAGTATGTTTCCTAGAGAGATGTGTCTAAAGAATTAATACATCACAAGATTTTTTAACACTACAGTTACTGTTTTTCAGAATCAGAAGTTCCAATTTTAACAACTCATCAAGCTCCTACTGTACTGAAAGGTGTTTATCTCATAATATATTATAGATTTAATTTTATATGACAATAATTTTGCCTTTGTCTTGTTTTAGATCTAATTTAATGTTTCCTTTGCTTAAGAACCAGAAGCTGCTGTGGCAAAGCCAAAACAAGCCACTAAAAAGAAAGGTATTGTAGTAATTTGTCTTGAGTTTTGTGCCAGTAGTAAGAATGCTTTATATTTTTCTAGTTATGTTAACAGACCTGAAGCAAGTATTAACATTTGACCTCCAATTTCAGAACCAGCTGCGCCAAAAGAAAAAGCCAAAGTTCCTGCAAAGAAGGGTGAGATCCAATTTAAAATGAAAGGCAGTATCCAGTATAGAGTTAAAATACCATTAATCATATTGGAGAAGATGCTTTACTCAATGTTTGTCATTATTATAACAACTTTGTTATATATTTTGTATGTGTGGATTTGAATTTGTGCATTTCTATTTCATTTTGTACATTTGTACTGTATGTCTTCAAGAGCCCACAGTTACTAAAGCCAAAGTAAAACCTTCAGTGGCAAAGAAAGATAAGAATAATAGAAAAATGATGGCTAAATTTAAATTTTAGATCTATTTTCATACTGAATAAATCATTTTTTATGATTTAGAGCCAACAGCTGTAAAAGAGAAGTCTAAAAGGACAGGTAATTATGGTTCAGGAGCTGACTTTGCAGTAGTTTTATATTAATGAGCAGTAGCTTATAATTTCCTCTTTTACAGACCGATTGATCACTAAAGAAAAGACTAAACCTACCTCTACTAAGAAAGGTATGTTTTATTGTTGCATATTATTTATAATATATTATATACATATAATGTAATATTATATTTCATGCATTTATTCATTTATTTATTCCACCATGAATTATTCTGTGTTTACCTGTGAAATAAAGTGATACAGATGCTTTATAAAATAAATAGAGAATAAATAGAGTTGTCAAGGACAACTCAAGAGATGCTTGTTTTTCATTTCCTTTTCTTTTGCCATCTTAAAAACAATTACCACCAATCTGGTTGTTTGGCATCCAGAAATCATGAATCTTAAATATTTATTCTCTGTCCTTTTCTCGTCAGAGCCAGCAGTAACAAAGAAGGCAAAAGTAACAACAGCCTCACATAAAGGTAACCTCACATACTGCACAGCTTAATTATACATACAGTACATACATATATTCATATTTATAGCTTAAATGTATAACTTTTATACACAAAAGCTTAAAGTTATAAAAGAAGGAAGAAGTCTTAATCTTTGTATTAGTTCCTTTACTACTCACTGAAAGAGGTTCAACTGTATCCTAAACGGTGTTTAGAAATTGGTAACAGCTATACATATTTCACACTGGATGATATTTGTCTCGCTTCTATAGGCAAGTGCCTGTTAGCTGCCCCGTGGCAATGTCATAAAATGTTCCGCCATGCTACTTTTTTAGCTGTTTTGCTGAGAGTAAATGTAATGGTCCTTGCTACATTAGCTGAATTCCACATTGCTCTTTTACTGCATTTTTGCTTATCAGTTGCTTCTAGATTTGCGCACATGGAAAATTATTTGTTGTTGTACGCATTTCTCCACATGCCATTTAGTTTATTTGATGCCATAAAATCCCTGCAGTCATGCAGACAGAGCACCAGTCTTGGATAATATTGAACAATATTTGAATAATATTTTATTATTTCATAATTCATCCAATAACTCTATACATTTTTTTTGTGCGTCTACAATGGTAGAAGAGAAAGCCGTAAAAGAAGTGAAGCCCAAAGCAGAGGGTATGTTATTTTACTGTAAAGTATTCAGTAATAGTTTTACTATTGCTCATATTTAAACAACCCCCTAATATTAAATATGAAACGTCTCAGTTACTTGTGTAACCCTCGTTCCCTGAAGGAGGGAACGGAGACGTTACGTCAGTCGTGACTGACGAATTGGGATCTCGCCCGAGAGCCCAATCACCTTCGAGTGTTAACTAAACATCATATCCGCCAAGGTCAGCCATAGGTGGCGCTCCTGGACCACCAATGTGGACATCGTCTGACCCAGGGCCTGCGCCGTGACTTTCGTCGCCCTAAGTGCGAGGTCCGTCGCCGTGCGCAGTTCCTGCAGCACACCTGGGTCAGCACCACCCTCGTGCAACTGCTTCAACGCCTTGGCCTGGTGGACTTGCAGGAGGGCCATGGCGTGCAGGGCGGAAGCGGCCTGTCCAGCAGCACTGTAAGCCTCAGCCGTCAGAGCGGACGAGAACTCACGGGCCCTGGACGGAAGGCGTGGACTACCTCTCCAGGCGGCGGCGCTTTGCGGGCAGAGCTGCATCACAATAGTGCGCTCGACTGGGGGGATGTCCACATACCCTTGAGCCGCCCCACCGTCGAGGGTGGTGAGGACGGAGGAGGCACCAAGTCTGTTTCGGGCAGAAAAAGGTGCCTTCCAAGACTTAGTAACCTCCTTATGCACTTCCGGGAAGAATGGCACCGGAGGCGGCTGCCGACGACCGGCCTGCGCCCCCAGGAACCAATCATCCAGCCTCGAGAGTTCGGGAGAAGGAGGAGGCCTCCAGTGCAGCCCGACACTCTCGGCGGCCCGGGAAAG